ATTTATACAAGTGGAAATAGAATAAATTAAGAACAAGCAAACTAGGCTATTTTCTTCTTTTTCAGTCATTGTTTGATAGTGATACGGAAAAGGATTAACTCCCTATGCAGCTGTCACTGTTTCCGTCTTGTTTTTCCGTATCACTATCAAAGAATGATAGAAAAAGAAGAAAATAGCCTGGTTTGCTTGTTCTTAATTTGCTATGTTTCCACTTGTATAAATTGGTGTATGTTAAATTATGTGTTTTATGTTTGTGTTAATGTCTGACAAAGCATCTTATCGAGATACGAAACATCACTAGCTTTTTGTTTCTGTTTTTGTTAAGTAAATTATTATATTAAGTTAAGTGAAAGAAGAGTATTTATCAATGTTAAATATGATCGTTTTCTTCTGTTGTTGGTTTCATAAAAGAGTTCTAATACAAATCAAAAAATATAATTTGGAAAAAGTTCATCTTTTTCTTTTTTAGATCTTGACATAATGATCGTAATTCAAGTTCATTTTCTTGTAATGATTAAATTCATCTTTATTTTCAATTTCTTTAAGACAATTCTAATGTGACTCATGGTCATCATTTAGATGAAGTTGGTTTTACTGTTTTTAGTGGCCTTCATGTATGCCTTGATAAATTTCATCGAGTTTTTAGACTGTATTAGATAGTTACTACCCTAGGCAACATTTTTTTCTCAATCTTGACATACACAGACCTTCTTTCCATTAACAAATATTTGAATGCTTGTATGAGTTGTGTACATACTCAAAGAAATTCATGCGCTGAATGGATGAAAATCGGAAGAATGAGAGACCATGGGACAATAAATTAGGAAAAATAATGAAAGCAGAACTACTCAATACGAAAGAATGCTTCTCTGTATTCCGGCTGTCCGAAGCTAATTATTTGTACAGATTTCATATAAGGATTGCATGCTAAAATATTTGTTATTTAATCTTTGAACTTTTATTATAAATATATTCGGATTTGAATATGAAGTTGAAGAAAAAAGCATGTCTAAAATATAATTGAATTCATTTCATGTGTGACAATCATTGTTTCCATAATTATGAGAAATGATGGGCTTCAATTGAACGTTAATATCACTTGGTTGTGAATAAGATGGACTTGTGCTATCAATTTATGCACTTCCTAATGCTTTTCATGTATCGTTTGGTTTATGATCATGTTTTAACGACCGAACTGATTCTTTAGTAATCTATAAAGTAGCCCAGGTCAAAGACGTACGGTGGGAAACCATCGGATCTCGTGGATTCCCAGCGAATTCCGGGAGCAGGATTCCGAAATCGGTTCCTGCATCCGTTTCCTGCCAATTCTGGAGTTCGGAAGCGATGTTCGGATACGGATGCCTGTTTCCGGTACGGTTCAGGAATGCGGTTTCAGCGATTTATGATGGCGACAGGATACGAACCGTATACTGTTGTTTACGGTCTGGTTTCGAAGCCCACATCCGGCCGTTCAAAACTCATCTGTGAAGTTCGGTTCCAGTCTCACGAAACGACAAGATACGACTAGGATCCTACTGCTGTAGGTATGATGGTGGGTGTAAGTCTTCTCTCAACACCCACACCCACCCACATCCACAGCCACATCATCATTCTTGTTTTTATAATTTAATGTAATGACCAATAATTCAGGTATAACTGATGAATCTTCACATGGATCAATTCGTGCATCTCATAGATCGATTGTACATTTTGCAAGTTTATCTGCATTTGTTTTAGCCTTGATGTTTTGCTTGAGAATTTCAATATTATTGGGAACTGCATCATTTGATGATGACATTTTTTATAATTCACGAGGAGCGAAACTATTAGACGTTTGCAATCCACTGTAAAAAGATTTATATTAAAAGTTTCACGATGTAAGAGAACGAGTAAAATTTGTCCTTACCAGCATGTTGTGAAATACCAGTAAATTCATTTTGCACCAGTGAGTAATTTTCATCGATGTTTTGATAGAAATTTTTCATTCAAACTAATCATCTATGATTAGTTTGTTTTCGTTAATAAAATTGAATATCAAACTCTTTTGAAGTATGACGAATAGCCTCAAAAATGAATGAATCGTATTAATAAGAAAAATTATAAATTTCAACAGGCCATATGAAGGTGATGTTAACTTCGTAAACTGAATTTTTCTCAAAGAATATTTAGGGTTAGTTATACTAAAGCATATTATTCTAAATTAAAATTGAATAAATTTATATTATTGAATACTTCTAAAAAGTAATTTGAATAATGTGAACAAGAATAAAATAATCACTATCCTACAACTAATCTTGCAATTAAACTAGTCTGATTAAATAAAATATTGACGTTTAAAGTTGATGTTGCAAAACATATTACAATCGAAATAATAAACACATTTAAGATATGAGTAGCAATTCTTGAAGAAAAGATTATAGCTTGATTTGGAAGAAGGCCCGTAAAACTAATTAATATAAGAAAGCTATTGTACTAAGACATGTAAAGTAAACTTAATTGATTGAAAAACTAGAAAAGATTTCAATGTTCAATATATATGAATAATAATTCTTTGAACGAATCTCGATAAATCGTTGGAAATTGAAAACTATCATTGTGACGAAAAAAATGATAGAAGAAATGTTGGTGTGGTTGGTGATTTTATTCCTTCATATCATATCATCGTCATGTGACGATTAATGATATAAAGGATGTTAGTGTTGATGGTGATACACTGTATTCTATTCCCTCATATCATACAATCGTCCCGTTTACATTTAAATCACACGTTTATATACACGAGTAGAATAAGTGATGATGCAAAAAAAGAAGATGAGGCCATGAAGAGAACAATGTAAGAATGAACAAGTGATGAGGCCAAGGAGAGAACAGATAAGACGAACAATCAAGTAAGGACATAACGTAAGAATAGATAGATGAGAACAATACATATAATATATGAGTGAATAACGATATAGAATGAGAAGAAGGTTCAATCATGCATAGATGAATGTAACAGTAACACGATTATGAACATTACGTATCATTGATTGTATAGCAATATACTGAGAAAGAAAAGACTTCACATAAGATAAGACGCCTATTGGCACAATCATGAATATAAGAGAAACTGAAGTTCAATTAAATTCATAACTGATTAATATGTTGACAAAGTTATGAATTAGTATAATTCACATATGAAAAACTGATAATAGTTACCAGTTTAACTATTATTTAAGTATATATTGGTCAAAGCAATCTACATAGGAAAAAATGAAGATTACAATTATTTCACAGTGTTTTCTGTGTGTGCTCTGTATGAACTCCAACACCCTACTTTGACTAAATCTCACTCTACTGGTTCTGATATTTCATATCAATTATCGTCCTCTTTGTCAACGGTAGCGTTATTGTATTTAATATAGCATGTTTTCGTGAACATCGCGTTCATGAACTAACATATGGTCTTCAATTTATTGTAACATTTTCGTTTTCTTTATTATTTTCTTTGTATACAAGAGAGTAACAGATACAAGTATACAATTAATTATAGATAGATGAAAAACAGTTTTGAATCTGAAGTTGTAATATATTTTATCGGAAAAATTTCTGTGTTACTCTTTAATGTTTTAAATTTTTAAAAGTGTATTATTTGGTGTCAAGCAAATTAACAGTAAAGAACTTAATAAAAATTTTAAAAAGCGTTTTTAAGGTGTCTTAAAGTTAATTGTAATTATTTCTAAAATCTAGTACTATTTGAAATACGACATAAAAAAATTAATGTCTTGAGAACAAACTAATATGACGAAAATTAAACTTGATAACGGTTATATGTATGTTAAGAAAGCAACTCAATAGTATATACCATTATTGATTTATGTATTTAATCTGCAATTTTAGTATTTTATCGATTATTTGACCGTAGCGATATTTACAATATGTAAGATTATAGTTTATGAAACAGTTTGGTTAATATGAATAATATCTAGTTAGTATTTCATTTCACTACTATATCATATCATGACTGTAGCATCAAAACAAAACTATAAGTTATTTGTCAAAAACCAATCCAACCAATGATACTAATTTGATCAATGTATATCAAGTATTGTAAATAAATAACTCCGATAATTTAAAAGACAATAAAACGATAACTAGACAACTGATTAATTAAAATGAATTCATTATAAATATATAAAAAAGTTTGTATAGTGGAATTATCGATGCAACTAATATGATAATAAAACTGAGACGATCCATTAGATCTACACTAAGAATATTTACTTAATTGAAGGTCTTCTTTTTCGACCTACTTGATGGTTTGCATTATAAGAGAAAAATAACATATGATTAAGCATATAATGACAAGGTAAAAGGATGTGAGTGATTATATGTGTTAAGACGATGTACACGCATACCCTCTCAGAAGCTTTTGGTGCCTTCGCATGTTTCAAGTTATCCTAAGGAAAATCATAACAAATAACAAAATTAAGTAGATTAAATTGAGAATCTAGAATTAATTAGAAGGTTAATAATGTTTAATTCAAATTATTGTCTATATAGCTTTCAACGATAATGGTAAGTAGAATAAGAAGAGTTTTACATATTTGATACACTCTCACCTGTTGAGAAACTAATATAAGTACGACAGCCAAATTTTGATTGTTGATAGCAAGACAAAGCCGTGCTTATCAATAAATAAAAATAGAAGAAAATTAATAATGACGAAAGAAAGCATCTTTTGCTAACATTTGACATTGAATCAAAATATATTTTCATACTCAAAATAGAACCATCAGATATAAGAAATTCTGAACTTTTTCATTCATTTATTAAGTATGAAGCATATGAATGTAATGAACTTGACAGAACTCGTTTTGTTTCGAAGTCCTTATCTCTCGTTCCATGCGCATGTTTCGAAAATCCAACTCAGTATTATTACTAGGATGATTATCCGAACTCAATACTCAATATTTATAATTATACAACCAGCGAATAAGTTCGATTGTTTATTTAACAAATTACAATGAACAACATGGAGTTCCATATACTCGATTTTCACGCCAATTGATATTTGTACAATATTCATCTTTAATCCATAACGATCTATAGTCACATGTTCGACTAATATTCGAATCTTGAACACCTAATAATGATGATGGATGTGTTTCAAGAAAATGTTGAAATATTGTTTCATCCAAATAATCAATACTTGTATTGTAAAGACGTAAAAAAACTGGTCGATTACTAAAACGAGTAAGTGATGTTGGTTCGAAACTAGAAGCATTTAACATTGAACCACCAATATCAATATATAACATATGATTCAAATCATCAACAATTGATGTTGACCGTCTACTATATATAGCCAATGGATATTTACCAATTTTTGTTAGTAAAGATGAAAAAATTCGTAATGATATTAAATTTGGTACATTATAAAATGGATATTTACCAATGTGCTTAAGTGGTTGTAATGTTTGTCGAAAATCAACACCTAACCATATATATCGAAGTTCAGTATGATTGAATGCACAATCGGGAATGGATTGTAGTTCATCATTTTCCATACTGAAAAATTTTAAATTATGAAATTTTCTTATTACTATAAATAATTTATCACTGTCTGATAAACTTGTATTTAAAGTTCTAAATACTTCAACATAATTTTGTGTATTATTAAATGCATTTACATCAATTGACTTTAATAATTGATTATGATATAATAAAATATTTGAAAAAGTAATATTTCCAAAAACATTTTCTGATAAATGATTAATTTGTGTATTATGTAAAAGAAAATCATTAAAATTCGTAAGATTATTCGATTGATTATTTGTTGTTAAGACAATACTAAGTTTAATAAAAATAGAACGTAAATCCAAGAATGAATTATTAATATGTTCACATATAATTGATTTTTGACGAATTGGAATCGTTTCTGTTAAAGTTGAATAGAGTACTGTCTGATTATTTGATGAATTATTCTCGATACATAAACATGGTTCTATTAAGAAATTAGATGGACATTGACTATTAACAAAAATGAAATATTGAACAATAATAAATAATATAATTGAAATTAAACGTGTACGATGCATATTGAAAAATCTTTGGTTGAAAATGATAATAGTAAATACAAAACAAATGCCAAGTAATGTCAAAATAAAGATTTAGATAAAGACTATAGATTGATAAATACAGAAATAGCATAATGTTGAATAGAAGATTAAGAAAAAGTAAAATGTGATTGATAGTCTGAGAAGCTATTTTTTTAAACGATTAGTAATTAAGCTAGTGATTTGAAAAAATGATTTTATATATGATCAATATTATGTTGCAATATTCGTTTAGTTCGATGCACAGTGAACACGACAAATTGAGATGAGTTCGGAATGCTAGATGTATTAAAAGATCTGCAAGAACGACAACTGAGTGAAGATATTTGGCAACATGCACCAAAGCACTCTCATTCTTACTCGACTTCAACAACCTAAGTGTAAAATATTTTACGAACGGTCTTGTTCTGTTGTGCGAACTTCACATCGATTATATAAACTTGTACAATAATTGAAATCTTTGCAAATCACTTGTTCTCCTTTTCTTATTGACCAATGGAATTAACAAAACATATATGTCTATATTTCTGTTGTTTTTTGGCTCATCTGTAAACAATCTAAACACTCAAAAATTAGTACTAAGTAAAAGCTTTACAAAAACCAACTTACTTACAATATCGTATGATGAATCAGAAAAAAATGACTAATAAAGTTTCAAACATTCGAAATAAGAGATGCAAATAAAAGCATGACGTAAAATATGTAGGGTATTCAACAAATTTCTTGACAGATTTAATTTAAAACATTACAATAAATAATAATGTATCAGTATTGTGGTCCGTGAATAATAGACATAGGTTTTTTATCTAGCAATATCATAAATCTAATTCGATTAATGGCTAAAGCAATAGTCTACTAACACGTTTTTTGGCTATTTTCGAGGCATTGATTAGAAATTCAAGACTTGATTCTTGCTCATTGAGAAAGTTGCTTTGTTCTAGAGGAACAATTGTCAAAAAAATATGCATGAACATATAATGACAATTTATGGAGATTGTATGTTTTATTATTCACTACGGTTTTTTTTAATTTTTACAGATAGAGAATTCAACAATTCATCATGATTCTAAATTACAACAGTACAACTATTTGAATTGTCAAAGACATCTTTGTTCACAATCATAGTATTGTAACTCTCTATATAGAGGTTAAAACTAGTATTTTAATTGAATTGTATATTGTATTTCATATCATCATTCATATACAACTAAAAACCTGTTTAAGATAAGTATGCAATTACATTACATAAGATCTAATCAATAGTACTCGAGCCTGATCCACAGCTATCATTGATATCTCATTCGTTGATATTATCGAGACAATGATTGAGAACCTTGTATATTTGTACTTTTGTGTGTTAGTCTCGTTCCATTATTCTAAAAGCACACAATAATATTCAATTTTCTGTTTTTTTTCATTTAGGTGATTACAAACCAAGATTATCATTTGCTTTACTTGTACTCACTCTAATATAAAGTATGGTCTAAGAAAAACTTTAAGCAATAATGTAAGATATCCTAAATTAGTGTATCAAAGTTCGTTTGATTTCAACGAAAAATTATAATTGTTTTCCTGATAATCAGAGCATAATATAATGCCAATATGCATGATCATCTATTCATGCGTAGATATCTTGAAGGAAACGTCTTTTTGTGTTGTGGGTATGTTAGTTTTAAGATGCATGTTTTCAATTCGTTCAAAGTGTCACGGCACCTAAGTAGACTAGGTTTGCTAAAAGCCTTTTGTTATTCATGGATAGCTTTCTTCAATCATTTTCTATTTTGTTTATTAAATAAAGCGACGTAAAATAAGGGACAACACAAATACAAGGATAGCAGAAAAGAATATTTTTTTGTTGCTGACAGCTTTTTTGAGCACGAAAACTAAAGAAAGAAAAGTAAGTAAAAATAAAGAAACATGAACAGACCCAGAGAGATTTACGTATGTAAAGTGTTCATCTGGTCCTAGCATGACTAATTCTGGTCCAAAAATAATTCTTGAACTTTTTGCTTTGTAATCATACATTTGGACGGCTTGATTTTGGGGTACTCGATATGTAACTAATCTGGATTTGTCACGTTTTGTCGTTTGCAACGATGATGTTACTGTTGTTTTGGCACGTCTTTCAACTAAGGAATCTCGCTGAAGAAATTCTTCTATGCTTAGTGGTAATTCTTTTTCCCACAGTTCTTCATCTTGTGTTAACATGTATGTATTACCAACAATCGCACGAACACGGCCAGTTTTCAAGTCTCGAACATAGATACCTTCATTTTCATCTAGATAAGTATCAAATAAATAAACAAGATATAAAACATCAAGAACCGTACCCAAAGGTATCGCTTTTCTTTTTTGTAACACTTCAACTTGAACCGGTGGTATGTATTCTCTTGGTCCTCTTATCACCCATTTGTCACCTTAAAAGATGCAAATAGTTCCCATACAGAATAGACAGATTTAATTCTTTCCTAGTTAGAATCTAGCCGCAGGAGATTTCTCTACACTAAAAAGATAATAAAATTCTTTTCTCTTACCTGGCACCCGAGTCACATTGTCTATTTCATCACCAAACGATTCGATACATTTTACTATGATACCTTCGTCTTCACTCAACACGTACACATCTTGAATTCCTTTCTCTAATTGTTCGTTAGGTTGCAAGAAAAATGATTTGTCACCAACGACTAATTTCTTCTTGCCCCATTGATTTTTACCATCAGCTTAAAAAGAAAATAGAAATCATAATAACTGCGATCATAGTTTGACATTTAACATTCTTACATGAAACTGGATTTAAGATGACACAATATTGTCTTGAATTGAATGTTGTTATATCAACAATTGTCACAAGTTGTTCATAAACATTCAAAATATGTGTTTCTGTTTGTTCTTTTGTGACGAGCCATTCGTCACCATTGTTTCTTGTTTGGCCAAAATCATCTATGAATGTTTTCAGTGCACGCAAATGTAATGCTTTTTTATCTGTTACAACACAGGCATTTTCAATGCTCACAACCGTTTCATAAGCCAATGGTAAATAAGCACCTAATTGTTTTATTAACCAATTTTCACCCGCCACACGGCGTTGACCCATACGATCGATAAGTTCTTTTTTAGCACTTAATCTTAGTGCTTGATTTGGACCAATCACGGTAGCTGCAATATGCTCTTCAACGGATACTTCTTTGCGTGGTATATAAGTGCCTAACAAATCAACATATTTGTACAGATGACTTATATTTATCATGAATCGAGCAAATTTCCGACTGAATTATAACTGAATGCATGGTTACTTTACCTGGTCCTTCGAATAGCCATTCATCTCCAGCTTTTCGCTGTTCCCCGTTATCGTCAAAATCCAAAACGGCTTTTAATCTTAATCCTGAATTAGCTGCAACATATTTTAAAAGTGTGGCAGCCTGGAACAATATTAACAGATACTATTGAATTGTACTTTCAATAAAGGTGTTCCAAATACCTGTTTTAATACTTCACCAGGATACAATGGAAATGGTTCTTTATAATCATTTTCCAGTCTAACATCTTGGCTACCATGCAACAATTTTGCCTGACCATTTTTGTCGAATTGTGCTTGATCATCTTCATTCTTAACAACGGGATTTTCAATAACACAATAATGTCTTGGTGGTAGAGTAATCATTTTATCGGGCCCAAAAACTATTGTCTCATTATCTTGTTTAAAAAACTTTTGTGGACCAATTTCCAATCGCGTTACACTTGTATTCTGATCTAATACGTGAATATAATAATAAGGTGGAATACGATAAACAGGACCCATCTGAGCTGATAAACTCTTAGAAGACATCCTATCGTCGGATGTTAAAACTAAAATAGAACAAAAAGAAATTCAATTTACATCTGTTTCCAAAATTTTATCGATCTTCGTCCGATGCATACACTCAATGACTGCATATGAATAGAAATGATAGTTCTACAGTGTCGAAAAAAGTAGAAAAAGGTAAGAAAACGAGCGTTAAGAAAAAAAATCAAGTCGGCAAAAACATAGATACAGGTACTTTCTGAAACACATTTGAACGGTTTGATATAATTGATGTTGGTGGATGATAATGAGATTTCTATATGTCAAAGAAAGTCGGTAGAAAAGTGGCTATTCTGATGAATGAAGTAGGACTGGTTTTAGCCGGAACTGGAAAAAAATCGACCAATAAATCTGATTACCAAATTCCTGCTTCCCATTTCTCGGAGTATTCCAACCAGAAATCTACGAATTCGGATCGTAACACACTATTGGCCTATGTGCAAGCGTAATGTACTTTCTCACTTTCAATTTTGATTCTCACGTTTTTGATCATCAAAAACAGAGACTGGTAACGAAAGATGGTCATCTCTGTTACGCATTTCCGGCGCATTTTGTATGGAATTGCTTGACTGCGCAAATAATTGGAAAAAAATATGGTGAGCTTGACATCAACAGAAAAAACCTGACAAAACTCTTTCATAAATGCTTACCGAACGAAGAAAAGCGAGTGTGTAATGTGTGTTACTTTATTTTGTGATCGTCTCTATGTCATTTTTACTGTGAATCACTTTTTAAACCTTGCACACCATGTTCATCAGTGTTATGAAATAACAAACAGAGAAGAAAAAAATATGATTGACCTATTAGCTTCAACCAATGAATCAAAGGAAACAAAAGGTGGCGTGATTTAAATGCTGCAAAAATAGATCAAAGTAATCATCTAAGTTGACGCATAAGCCTATCATTATGCATTTATTGAATGTATATTCAACTCAAACCTGCAGACATGAATCCTTCCAATCATCAGATAAGATTATTGAAAAAAAAATCGATTTTATGGATTCTTCGGAGAAACTTTATGTTATTTCTACGAATTTCTTAAGTTGTCTATTTCCTAATTCGACAATGACTAGTGTTAATGATGTTATGGCAGACGGTTAGAAAAGCCTTCAGAGTATAATTCTTTATCCGATTTTGAACAGTTTTTCTATAGGCTACGGCCAATAATACTAATATACATTAGCTTTCTTCCATTTTAGCTATCTTGGATATTTCTAACACTATAAGATCAAATAACATTTAGATGCTGTTTCTTACTTGTAAATCTCCGATAATCCAAGCGAATTGATTGGTTTCACAACAACACAACTTAGAAACCAAAGCAGTATTTTTTTTATAGACTCTGAGTAGAATACGGCAAATCTTTTCTCAATAGCGTACTAGCTGAAAAGTCTGTCATAGCATCTTCACTGCAATTCCAATATATTACGAAAATTTAAAACGATTTTAATATACTTCAATCAAAGCCAACGTTTCAGCGAGGAAAGGACTAGATGATGAACTTGTTGATTGATTAAAATGTCGTTTGGTATCAATATATTTCATAATGGATGAATCAAATTTGTTCACATATAATCCGCATATGGATGTAATCAAAATAGAAAGAACAATGTGCTTTATTTATAAATAATTATTTTCATCATACTAGACATCTTTTGGAGTTGTGAAAATGCAATATACTTCGTTAAATTGATATGATTTATCATTTAATTAGAAGTGAAGCCTTTCAAAACTCTAGTTTCTCCACATATAGAAAATAATTTGATTTTCAATTAGGATAAAGACTTTGTTAAATAAACGGAAAACAGTAAATTATTTTCTGCTATTTCTCCATATCTAAGAATACAATTGAAAGTAAATTTGTCTCAATAAATGGAGCGAAATAGCTCCATTTGTTAATTACAACATGAATGTTCTCAGTGGATTTCAAAGCTTTATCATCAGAAACTTTCAAAATGAAAAACAAAAATATAACCTTCTTGTTGCAAAGAATTTAGCTATGACAAAGAAACTCAGCCATATTCAATCAAATACTCGAAAAAAACTATGAACGAAGTCTTCTTAAAACATTTTAGCAAAGTCTCTCATTTTATCGTTGTTTCTCATTATTAATTAAATATCCTAGAAATCACAGATACATTTTCCAAAGATAGCTGTTGAGTATCAGTTCAACTAACGATGATTTGACTTTCTCCTAATTTTAACATTATATAAAAACTAATAAGTATAGTTGATCCCATCCTGCAGAAGAGGAAGCAGTTTAACTACAAAAAAACAAAACTTGAGTATAGATAAAAAGAGTAATCAGAATCTTCTAGAATCGTGTAAATGATTCTATAAATCTCAATAGCTAATAATATATTATTCTCATAGTTCTATACGTTTATAGAAGAGTTATCATTTTGTAAAGATTTTTTAATATATAAATTTTGTTTTATAATATTATAAATTTAATAGATACATGTGCATTTCACATTTCAGCTTATTCCAGCCTGCACTAGTCAATTTCTTTTTATTATCAAGTGTCATTGTCACACGTCAAAAAAGTCGATGATGATAAGAAGAAATAACTCTTTGTCATACGATTTAGTTGAAAATAAACTACATGAATAATGAAAAATAGATATGAACATGTCATCGAAAAATTTTATTATTAGATTATCATAGAATCGACAATGAATATGATTGATAGTTCTGCCTCAGACATATACACAAATGTTAGATATTATTGACTAGTATTTATTTCGTTTGATTATTTATATTTCATATAGAATGTCTAAAGAACGTAGTGATACTATTTCTTAAGAGATAATAATCCATACAAACAGTTTAATTTGAAGAAATGATATTCTCTACTTTTCAAATTGAAATATATTAGCATTGATGATATGAAAAAGGAAGAGTCAACTTATAGTTCAAAAATTCTTCAAAAACTCGTTTCTTTTCATTATTTTTATATATGTGAAGTGATTAGTACTCAAAACCTATTTTTTTAAGAAAATTTTCATAAACATAGATCTTTAATAATAGATAAACAATTTCTCTTCAGATGTTTGTTAAAATCACATTTATGCTATGAACAACAAAGACAGACATCAAATCAATCTCTGGACTATTTTATTAAAACAACAAGATTAAAAAATAATAATAATAAAATATATTAATGAAAGTTTGTTATATTGTTATTAATTGTTTGATTTTAATAAGAAACACGATTTAGTTGTCGATTAAGGCTATGCAATTGAGGACTATCAATGTAACTATCACATGCATAGCAAAAGACTGAACGATCTGAAAAACTAAGACAAATATTATGTCCAGTTGATTCATGATGATTTAACATATGCTTTTGCTGATAACGAGAGCAACCAATCTAATAGAATAATGGAAATAAATGTATGAATCTATTTTGATTGTTGACGAAAATGACTCACATAATTACAGTTTTCGTGTAGACAAGCCCAGTTCTCTTGTGTTTTATTACAATCAACACAAGGTGGTTGATGATGTTCATCATATTGAGTCGATTGAAGTAATACATACGCGTGATCACCCAAATGAGGACAATCATACTTTGGTACAATAGAAAATGGCTTTAAAAAAGACAATCAAAATTCATATTCAATTTGATCAACATTGAGTATTTTCACTTACGCCTATTTGATTTTCATCATTCATCTGTTCGGAAGTGGCAGCTTTATTTGATCGAGTCATTTTTGTTTACAACAGTTGGCTATGATAATATGTGATTTAAGACGATTGCAACTTGTGCTTTTTATACACCAACGAAGATTGATTGCTTGAGTATGGTGAAAGATAGAGATATGTAGCAAAAAACATGATGCATACTTCATAACTAGTAACTGAGTCATTCTCAACCCTATTTGACGTCAGTTTATTTTTTTTTCTATTCATAGCACAAGAGAGAACGAAAAAAAAGTTGCACAAGTTTCTTCATTACTACAATATGGCCTCGGTAATATACGTAGAAATACTATATATAGTAATATCATGCAGTGAGTGACTAAGCTATACATAAAGGAAATTATGTCAATAAACTAAGCATTTAATTTAACTTAATTTCGTTCTGTTATAAGTTTTGAATATTTCACAAAAGAATTTCAATATTTCTTTTTCGAATAGAACAAATTTGACATTCATAGCAGTAATATTAGTTTATGTTCATATAATCATATTTTCTTTACTTTCTCATGATTACTCATATACGATGATTTCATAATGCATTGATATCAATAGACAAGATGATTTTGAGAAAACTCTTTAACTTACACAAAGTGATAGAATCTGAATTTAATAGAAATTACCAAGAAAAAAAATTTTCTGATATTTAATTTTTTATAACTTAAATATGGTCTGTAACTTATGTTCAATTTCAAATACAACATCTTGTATTTTTTTAATAAGTCTATGTAAATACTTTTAAGTTCAATTGATATATTTTCTCGCAAGCAGATCAACGATTTGTTGCTATAACGTTGATCTTTTTCACAGATGTATATGAAAGTTGTACAGAGTTCAATACGAAAAATATTTAAAGTTTAACGCATAATTTTACTTCTTTGAAATCTATGGATAATAAAGTAAAAAAAAAGTGTATTTTTCATCAGTGGTATTTTCTTTCTGGTGTAATTATATTAGCACTGTTATTTATAGATAAAAAAACACAACTGAAAACGCTCTGAAACTAGCCGTAGATCTCGTCCTCATTCTCATCGTTAGTCGCGCAATGCTACGGAAGCAACTATCTGGGATGCAATAGTCGTTTTAATGAAGCTTCTGACGTAATAAAACTTGTTAAAAAATGTAAGGAAGTTCGAATGTAGAAGAAGTATCAATTAATAGATATGATAGTTAATAGAAAGTTTATTAAATTTTTTTCTAAGAGAGAAATTATTCAACCAAACTTTACTTTAACGTCGAGCATTGTTTAAAGGCTT